TCTCTCTCTCTCTCCGTCTCCCTCTCTCTCTCTCTCTCTCTCTCTCTCTCTCCGTCTCCCTCTCCCTCTCCTTCTCTCTCTATCTCCTTCCACTAATAGCCTCTCCCTATCTTCCCCACAGACTGAATCCATCAATGACTTTGACAAATGTTTCACCACCACAATCTTCTATGTCCCCTCACGTCCCTCTCTCTCTCTCACCCACTCTTTTTTTTCCTTTCTCTTTCTCAATCTCCTTCGACTAACAGCCTCCTCCTCCTCCTCCTGTCATCCCCACAGAGCGAGTCCATCAAAGACTTTGATGAACGTTTTACCACCAAGATCTTTGGTTACGAGTCTGTGGACCATTACTATACGGACGCCTCTCTACACACCAAGGTCCACCGACTAGCCCGGCCCGTGCTGTGTCTGAGCGCGTCGGACGACCCTTTTGCTCCCCACCACTGTGAGTTTTCTTTCATTGTCAGCTCTCATTCGGGTGACTGTGGTGTAGCACTTACCTTCTTCACCATCACTCACAAAAGACTTGAGTTTGATTCCTATGAGGGGAAGTTTTTTTTAAAAATCAAGTATCTCCACTCTTGTATCGTTGTCATTCTGGGTTGGCCTTGATAGGATGGGCCGAAGCACTCAGCCTCGTAAATGACCTAAATTGTGCAGCTGGGCTGTAAAACATTTTCCTTTTTTTTTTCCCATCCAGGATTTTTGTCTGGCGTATGTGGAGTTTATTATTCTCTGCTTCATTGGTTGACTTCCCAAAGTTGGAGTTGGGAAGAGCATGGCAGCCCAGCAGCAGATTTGTGACAGGAGTATAACAACATTCTTGCTGGGTCTTTTATGAGCCAGTGTTGTGTACCGACGCCACAAAAGTCCAGAGCTAATTTGTATCTATGGGGGCGTAAAATGTTTACAGTTGTTTTCCATGCAGAGCAAGTACCAGTTGCTCTAATGTGGTTTGCTCCTCACGTATTTCAATCTGACTCGGATTCTGAGTTTGAATTTACTAATTGTTCTTGATCTCTGTGAAATTCTTTTACTTTATCAGTTGCTGTGGCTTCAAACTTACCAATTTTATGCATAATCTTTCCTGATCATATATATACCATTATTTTTTCCTTGTATGAGATTGTAGAAGACACATGCCCCTCCATTATTAACGTCTTTTGTCCACCTTATGTGTACAAGCTTTAATCGTCTTTGCATTTATTAACTTTGCTGGACGGATGACTTATTTGCGAAAAATTTGGGAAAAGAAATATTTCTGTTCCTGCTCTTTTCCTTTAAAAATTTTTTTAGCATTTATATGAGCTATTTGTGTTGCAAGTGCCGTTAAACTCACTAAAACTAAAAACTGATTTTTTAAAAAAATAATAAAATTTGGGTTTTGTTTTTCTTTCCAGCCATTCCAGTGAAAGAGGCGGAGGAAAATGAGAACATTGCCATCGTGGTCACTTCTCACGGGGGACATATCGGCTTCATGGAAGGCACGTTTCCCCGCGACAAAAACTACATGTACCGCTGGTTCAAGCAGTATGTGTCTGCTGTGTTTGAGCACGGAAACAAAAAGGCGTAACTACGCTTTTTTTTTTTTCCCTTTAAACTTACAGCACATAGATGGTTTCATTTATTACCTCAGTTCATTTATTTTATAGTTTGGCTTAGGAACAAATATACTTTGAAAGCCATAATGAGTGCACTGTTGTTACTTTATTATATGATATCATGTTTTTTTAAGGGCATTTTTTATTGGAAGTTTACCTGCATTGACTTGGACAGTGAGTCGGGGACACATTGATCATGCTGCTCCTGAAATTTTCATCTCTACATTTCCGTTACATGTGGAAAAAGTTTCCATGAGCTGTGCATGTTTGCGACTTTTCTGTGGTTAGCTTATTTCCTCTAATGGTAAGAGTGATATAAGAGATAAAAAGTTTTAAAAATAAAATGAATTAGGTAAGATGAACTTTTGTAACACATCCGCCTTTAGATATATTTGTGAGACAGCGTGGTGAAATGAGGCGCTCGTCAAAATAATGAAAACGAAGAAACTGGCTTTTTCCCCGCAGGTTTAGGAATTTTAATCGAATTTTTGTTTTTTTAGCTCAACACCTTCTACGTCCACATTTCTTTTATATGGATTATTTTGAAAAAAATTGATTAAAGGCCAAAAAAAAGTAAATTGTCAGCTTCCACGGACTCTCAAGCTAAGGAAATAACTAAACTTTGGGGGCCATTTTCTTGCAAATTTTACTTCTGAAACCAAGTAACCCCCACCTCCTTCAATTGCCAATATCTCGACTTGTATCCAAGTTAAACAGATTTTTTTTTCTTCGAAAGCAAGACAAAGGAACAAGCTTTGATATGATACCAGTAACTCCAAATGCCCAAAAATTGACGAGCGCCTGATTCCACCACATGGTGACACATTTGAATATCGAAAAGTGATGTTAAAGAAAAAGTAAAAAATATTTTACTTACACTGAGATATAACTCTTATGAGTGCTAACAGGGCATTCTTCTTCTTCTTCTTCCTCCGCTTCCTCCGCTTCCTCCTCCTCCTCCTCCTCCTCTTTCTCCTCTTTCTTCTTCTTCTTCTTTTTTCTTTTTCTTCTTCTTTTTCTTCTTCTTCTTCTTCTTCTTCTTCTTCTTCTTCTTCTTCTTCTTCTTCTTTTTTTTCTTCTTCTTCTTCTTCTTCTTTTTTTTTCTTCTTCTTCTTCTTCTTTTTCTTCTTCTTTTTCTCCTCGTAGTCATACCCTGCTAGAGCCCAGCAAGTATCTGACTGTAAGATACTCATCTCATAGTGAAATTGATTTCACGTAAAAGGCCGTTTTATCTACATGGAATGTAGAATCATCCCTTGCCTGACAGGCAGCCACATGCTCTTTACAAAGGTACTATTAATTGACTCTTTAAACCTCACTGAAAGTGGGACCATCCAGCAGTAATGACCTGGTACCTCATCGGGTGCTGGCAGAGTGGGATACTTGTAACAAATGTTTCATTATATATACATGGTACCGAAGTGCCATTTTAAAATTGTTTTTCCAGAACTATTTCCGACCCAAATTCTTGAGTAATGATGACCAAAGCGTTGTTTCAAGTTCTGGTTGCATTTTTAGAGCTAAGTGTTTTTCCTCCTATGTCTACCAAGCCTTACATTGTTTGAGAAAGTGGGCTTCAGCTATTACAGCTGGTAGACGTAAACTGACTCTAGATGAGATGTCAGAGTTGCTAGGAGAAATTCAGCTGGAAGAATTGAGTAGCATTTCGATTCTCAGATGATAGTGAGGATTTCAGCTTGAGTAGTGAGAATGACATGGAACTGGAGCTAGATCCAAAATCATAAGTTATCAGTCATAGTGGTAAAGTTATCGGTCATAGTGGTCATAGTGGTAAAGTTATCAGTCATAGTGGTAAAGTTATCAGTCATAGTGGTAAAGTTATCAGTCATAGTGGTTAAGTTATCAGTCATAGTGGTAAAGTTATCAGTCATAGTGGTAAACCAGCACAAGGATGAAGTACACCTGTAAGTTTACTTTTTCCTACATTTTATTTCATCTTGTTGCCTATATGTTTTCCTTCAATTTACTGTATAATACTTTTGTGTTCTCATTTAATACTGCAGTGTTTTAGGAGTTATGATGAGGCAAGGTGCACAGGGTTTAGGTGACCGGAAAAAAAACCCTCAGGGACACGGGTTTACAGGCAAACACCATACTTGTTGAGCTACTAAACGCCCATGACATGGTATTCTTAAATGACCAAAATTTTTGTAATGATTCTGAGGAAAACTCACTCGTAGTTTTGGTCATGGAGTGGATGGCAAGTCTGATACATTTTTTAAAATGTTAAGAGTGTTCTTTAGCGTGGACACAAGTGTTTTGAGGGGGTGCAGATCGTCACAGTCAGTGTGGCAGCAGACACAAGGGAGATCTGCTCGCCCTCTGTGGGAGTGAGCTAGAGTTGAGTTAATGCCTCTTCTAATCTCAGTCTTTGTAAGATGAGAAACTAAGATTTGTGTGAAATTCAGATTGTGTGCAGATGTAAGTAAATATTTCATTCATTATTTTCTATTTGCTGTCGCAAGAGCTCGTGTAAATTGCTTGTATATTTATCTATGAGATTAAGCTGCTTTCTGTCTTTTCATTTTTGGTATTCAATTTATATTTTTTTGTATTTTTCATAGTATGCATGTTAATACATTTTTTTTATATTGGCCTAAGCATGCAAATATATATTGAACTTCTTAGGGAAGCACCCTTATAAGGAAAATAGCTTGAAAATAAATTACCTTGAACGAGTCAAATTTTTTGAGATGTCAAGCAGTCCTTTGCCTTTATAAGAACCTTTTCGTTATCTGGTTATTTGGATATTAAGCTCAAAGGTGGCAAGATCAAATGGGATTATCTGTCTTGAACTTGTATCTACTGAAATCATATCAGAGTGATTGATGAAAGCATTACATCTGTCTGCTGACTAGGTTGTTTTCTGCCTCGGACACTGTACACAGGCTTTTAAAATGCTTCTTCTTCTTCATCTTCTTCTTTTCATTTTTCTTCTTTGAAAAATGGAAATTGTACAGATGTGACAATGTAAGGCTATTTAACAGGAGCCAGGAGCTTCTTTTTCTTTTTTTTTCTGTCTGTTTGTTTGTTTGTTTTCATTGTTGTCTGAAAGGGATAGAAAGATTGAATCTTGCATCATTGTGGAAAATCACCTCTCCTGCGATATCTGCATTATTGCATTAGGCAACCCTGATTGCTATTTAGTTGACTGGGTAAAATTAACCAAATTAGATGAATGTTTTTTTTTTTTTTAATTGTTGTTTGAATCGCCTTTTGGATTTTAAACTTTTGGAGGACTGTCCCATTGTGAACTATAAGAATGAGCAGTTTTTCTGAAAAGTTGAAGAAGAGCAGTGGTTGGTTTGTTTACCTCCTCCGCACAGCACAGTAATTTGCCTTAACCAGATCTTTCATATATATATACAATATACAGTGGAGTCCTCTAAAACCAAACAGGGTCGGTTCACATTGGCAATGGACTTACAGAAAATAAAACCGCTGTGGCTTTTTTTTCTCAATTTGAGCAATCTCTGTAAACCAAAACATGGTTACACCAAAGAAAATCCAGCAGTCCCTCAAATGTGGGTGTGTGATGGATGCTCTTGTGAGGTTTTAATTTCTTCCTTCCTATCAAACATCTATTGTCCTGATCTCTCCTCTTTCTGTTTTTTTTGTTTGATACTCTCGTGTAACATCTCTATTCTTCGGCACTTATATTATATGACCCTATTGTGTTGCTAATGCTGTAAAACTCTTACTAAAATATTTTTAAAATCCCTAGTCCCTCAGACTCAGAGTTTGGTTTAAGCAGACTCCACTGTATTTTTCTTTTTCCTTTTTTTTTTCTCATTGAATTACTTCCTGTGATCACGCACATGTGTTCAACTGTTCTGGAATGTTGTGATACTCTCTAGCGATTTTGAATGATAGCTTTTGTCTTGCCACTGTGCTGCAGTTGGTTGGTGAAGTTTGCCCATAGACTGAGGGGCAAGAGTTCAAGTCCAAATGGAGGGGGATCTTGATTTTTCTCATGTTTTCCTCAAAATACATTTCCTTTCATTTATCCCGGTGTCTTGATGGGGATCAAATACTCGAATACTTCATCTTCGAAATGGTTTAAATCCAATGTGTCATATTGTGTGTGTAAACTGTGTCTCAATGTATTTTTAAACAGTCTAATTGTGTTTGTATATATGTATATCATGGCATGTCTCATGAGTCATTGTGTGTCATATTTTGTGTGTAAATGTGTCTCATTGTGTGACTTATTGTGTGTCTCATTGTGTGTGTAAACTATGTCTCATTATGTATCTGAACTATTTCTCATGTGTGCCTACTTTTTGTTATTAAGTTTTTAAAACAATTTTTAGAATGTATTTTTTTGTTTGCCTGAAGTAAAACCACTACATTATAAAGTTCACTTAAAAAACAACAGCCTAATATTCATAATACATGTGCTGTCAAGTGTGTACACAGTTCAGCTAGATGATTGGCGGTGCTCTGGTGTGGCTTGCTCCTTTATCTTTCCTATCAAACGTCTATCATCCTTATCTGTCCTCCTTTTTTAAGTTTATTACTCTATTGTAGCATTTCTAATCTTCGGCACTTACGTGACCTTTGGCACATATATGACGAAATGTTTTGTTGCAAGTGCTGTAAAATTCTTACTAAAATGAAAACACTGTTCAAAAGGTTTTTTGAAATTTCTCACGTAACACAAAATAGGGTTATAGCATTTGGTATTGTCCTGGTGACCATGTTTGTCTGTTTGTGGTGTCTGTCTTGCTGTCTGCATGAGACTGACAGGCAAAGTCAAAGTAGCCTGCCTCCTAAATGATCTAAAGTGCTTTAACGGGAAAGTAAAACATCTACTATTACATTATATTTCCCCTGAAATTACTTTTTTTGTGTATCTTGTTAGTCAGCTTGTAGTAGAGTATTCTCTTTATTTGTCAGTAATGAACAAGATATAGACTAGAGTCTACGTTTTATCGCATGTTTTTGTAGCTCTTTCGTCGGCTTCATCTTGTACGTGGGTGGTTGGCGGGTGCTCTGGTGTGGTTTGCTTCTTCTTTCCTATCAAACATCTATCGTCCTTATCTCCCCTTCTTCTTTTTTATGTTCGTTACTCTCTTGTAACACCTCTAATCTTCGAACGCTCATATGACCTTATGCAGTTGCGAGCGCCATAAAACCTCTACTAAAACTAAACTATCATCTTGTACCCGCTCCATGTGCTTTTTATTTTTATCTTGTTCTTGTACAGAGTAAACCCTTCTGATGCAGGGTCAGTTTGTGCTTCACTGAGCACAGTTTTGGATCCCCAGGGACAAAGTAGCGCTAGATTTTAGCGGTCGGTTACCTATAA